CAACCCATGAAGGATCTTGGGTTCAGTACTATTCAGGGAAAGTACTGTTTTAAGGCCAACAGTTGTGCAGGGAGGGGATCGGGCCAGGATCACGCTCAACCGCCAGGTTTTCCCCCTTAATCAATTATTTAATTAAGGGTACCCACTTTGTAGAGGCTGGGTGTGCCCCAGGAGGGTCTCTCTACCCCAGGGTCGCCCCACGGCTAATGAAACAGGATAAATAATTTCTCCATGAGCCGGGATTCGAACCTGGGACCTCTAGCACTGGATGATGAGTGCCCTACCACTGAGCTAACCCGCTCCCATTCTTCCACGTAAGTATCGTTATATATGTTAAAAAAAATCTTTCGGGCTGAAGCTCCCTCCTAGATCCTCTTGTGCTCACGATTATAAGTCTATGAAGATGAAACCAAACTTATCATTTAAAAGACTATTGTGTATAACTATTAAATAAAAACTACGTACTAATCTATCACTAAAACAACAAAATTAAACTTTTAAATTAAAATATCCCTAATAAAACATCATCCATTTTATTATTATTATTAAGATACTCAAGTCCTTATATTCACTTCCATACAACTTCACACTTCGGCGCAGACACCAAGCTCCATTTTCTATAACTGGTCCAAAGGTGCGTCTTAGGACCTTCTCCTCGAAGCGATCAAGCCTTCGCGCGACTGCTTTGTTGAGCGTCCATGTTCCGCATGAGTAAATTGCTATTGTCCTCCTTCTAATAATTTTGAATAGGGAGGAATATTCCCTGTTGGCTGATACTAATCTGCATCTTATTTCAGCTTCCTCTTCCATCTTTTCTGTTATTGTAGACGACATCAAAAGCATTTTTTTCCAAATCTAACTCGTTGTTGTGGGACCACATCATGTTTCCTAATGCACTAAAACTATCTATTAACAAACTAAATCTATCCTTAAAACAATAAAATAAGAAAATTTAGCAGTTTTGAGGTGGCTATAGAGCAAGCAAGTAGCAAGGGACGAACCAATATGGCCGACCAATAAAAAAGTTGACACCATATGGCCACTGTAAAGTTGCCGAGACGAAAACCCGCTTGGAAATCATTTAATATGTCATTTGTATTCACCCACTTCCATAAACGTACCAATAAAATTCCAGTGAATAATTTTGTAATTACATTAATGAAAGATATGCCCCTAAAATTTTCAACGTTATGGATATCAGCTTTTTTTGAATAACGAGTAAATGACTGATTTAGTGAAACTCTGTTGGATTCTTCCACTATTAAAGTAATGATTGAATACGTTAACAATTTGTTGCAATACGCATTCTGAGGATTTTTTGAAAAATTCAAATGGCACAGAATCGATTCCTGGCGCTTTATTATTTTTTTGTCTTGGACAATACACATTTTGATTCATCTAAACCTATTTCCCTATCTAGCTCAAAATTTTCCCATTTTGGGTTTGCATAAAATATTTGAGCAGCTTTTATAACAGGATTCAACAATAAAGTGGCACTTTATATGAACGGTGAAACACATTTTTACAATACCCAATGTTCATATACGCCTTCCTCTAAAGTACCTTTAGTATGGTATAATTAACTATCTCTCATTATTTAAAGTCACGAAAAAATGCTAAATATAACTTATGAAAGAATTTGATAATTGAATAAAGGAGAAAAAAAGGAAAATACTTATTCAGGTCGAAAATGAATCTACGGAAATAGCAGTCAGAAGGTATATATATATAATATATCATTGGAAAGCGGAGAATTTTAGAAAAAAACAATATCTAATATAGAAAGTTCTATAAGCTAACGGAGAGCGGCTAAAAGATTATAAATAATAATGTTTGAAAACTATTAATATTTAACGTAAATCACATGTTTTTAAGGAAATCAAATGAAATTTACTAACTGAATGTAATAATAATAATAAATTTATTTATTGAGAAATTTTACAAATGCCTTTTGGCATATTTTGTAAATGTGATGTTCGTTAGCGAACCTCCTCTTCGGGATTAGCGTGAATGCGTGATTGGAGAAGCCTCCCAGTGAAGGCACTCCTAACGTGACTCTAATGCAGCAGGTCCCTGCTCCAGAGGCGTTTGAGTCTCCTTGGTGGATTCTGTGGTAGTGTGTCTGTTAATAATGTTTGTACAAGTGGATTAGGATGTCCAGCTAGGGAGTCATGAAAATTTTTGTAATATTTTTTAATTACATCAGTCACTTGTGGTGTTTGTAGGTCTTTATGAAGTGATTTATTGGTTATGTAGAAGGGACAATGAGTGATATAGCGGAGAAATTTAGATTGGAAAATTTGAATAGTTTGTAAGTGTGTTTTTTTGCATGAACCCCACACCTGAGAGGCATACGTCCATATTGGTCTGAGTAGCATGTTGTATATAGTAATTTTGTTAGAAAGTGATAGTTTGTTTTTATGGTGTAGCATTCGTCTTAGTAGTGACAATCGATGGTTCAATCTCTTTTTTAATGTAGTCACGTGTGATTTCCAGGTCAGTCGTCTGTCCATTGTGAGTCCTAGATATTTTGTCTCTGTATGATTTGGCAAAGGGGTGTTGTAAAGTGTCAGTGGAGGGCAATCCGAACGTTTAAGTGTAAATGTAACCTGATTTGATTTTTGAATGTTAATTTTTATGCGCCATTTATCAAGCCAGTCTTGTAGAAGATTTAAATGAATCTGTGCTTTCTGAGATGCTGTGATCGGATTAGAGTCAGTCGAGAGTATGACAGTGTCGTCTGCGTAAGTTGCGAGTAATGTGTCTGGTGTCTGTGGAATATCAGAAGAGTAAATTGAGTACAGAACCGGACCTAAAATACTGCCCTGCGGTACTCCCGCGCCGATTCGGCAATAGTCGGAGTATTTACCATCCTGGTTAACAATAAAAAATCTATCCTCAAGATACGATCTGATGATTAAATAGTATGTATGCGGAAAGATCGGTTTAATTTTACAAAGTAGACCATCATGCCACACTTTATCAAAGGCCTGTGAGACGTCTAAGAAAGCTGTTGTGCAAAATTCCTTCTTTTCCAATGCCACAGCAATTGTATCAATCACTCTATGACATTGTTGTATGGTAGAGTGTGCAGGTCTAAATCCAAATTGGTGATTGGGAATAACATTGTTTGCTTCTAAAAATGGATAGAGCCGTTTTAATAATAATTTTTCAAATATTTTGGAAAATAAGGGTAAAAGACTGATAGGCCTATAGGACGTGACTTGGTCTAAAGGTTTGCTTGGTTTCGGTATCATTTTTATGATTGAAAATTTCCATACTAGAGGAAAGTAAGTAAGTCGAAGGATAGAATTGTAAATAGCTGTCAGGAAGATTAATGCTTTTTTGGGTAGAAGTCGTACAATTTTAGGTGTGATTAGGTCAAAACCAGGAGATTTTCTGCGAGGTAATTTTTTAATACAAAATTCTATGTCCGAAGGAGTTATAGGGGGAGGAGGTAGAGAAAGGGGAAGAGGAGAAATGAGGATTTGTTGGACGTCTGAGCAGTGCTGTTGGTCAGGCAAGTCTTCATGTGGATGAAATACGTCTGTAAGATGAGTAGCAAATAAGTCTGCTTTCTCTTTATCGCTTCTAGCCCATGAGTGGTTTGGTTTACGGAGAGGAGTCTTTGTTTGGTGGTACCCTAGTATCTTTCGGGTTTGTTGCCAGAGAGTATTGTTACTTGTCTGTAAGGTGGTCAGATGTTTTTTGTAAGTTTCCTGTTTGTATTGTTGTATAAGTTTTCTAAGTTTGTTAGAAAGTGCGTTTAGTAGCTGTTTGTCACTGGGATAGCGAGATCTTTTCCATTGGTTGAGAGCACGTCGTTTTTCAATTAGAAGTGATCGTATTTCCGGGGTAAGTAATGTTTGTCGCGGTTGGTCTCGTACTTGTGTGCTGATTGCCAAGCGGCAGTTTGTACAGTCTTAGTAAGCGTCTCTACTGCATTGTCAATATCATTTTCCGTCTTTAATCTTGTGTTTAGATCAATTGTCTTATTAATAATGGAATGAAATTTATCAATTAATATTGGCCCAGGAGTTAGTGTAGGTGTGTGGTTGGTAGTAAACATGTGTCTAGAGAGAGATAAAATAACCGCTGAATGGTCTGATGATAAGTCGTTACTAATAGAGATATGATGGTGTAGTGTGTGTAGGCTAGAAGTTATAAAGAAATCAAGTAATTCTGGTTGACGGTTTATGTCTGTCGGCCAGTACGTCGGTTCAGGTGGTAGTATGCAGTTATAGTCCAGTTCTATACATGTATTAAAAAGAGAGTTTCCTCTAGAATTATTGGTCCTATTGCCGATGTTTGGCGTTAAAATCTCCTCCACATAAGAATTTAGGTCCTAAGCTGCCAAGTATGTCTGTAAACGTTTCCTGTGAAACTCTTTGTCTCGGAGGACAATATGCACTGGCAATAGAAATTTTGGTGTGATCGATTTCAACCGAAATAGTTGATAATTGAATTTCTGGTAAGGCAGTCATTTGAAGAGGATAGTGGTATAATGTTCGTTTTACGACTATTGCCGAGCCGCCACGGGCAGTACCGCTGGGATGGTCAGCGCGGTACACTACATACCCTTGTATGTAAAATGTTGTAGTTTGAGTAAAATGAGTTTCTGTTAGTAATGCAATGTCAATGTCATTTTCATGTAAATAAATGTCAAGTTCATTCCTTCGGTGTAGGGCTCCATTTGAATTCCAAAGAAGGATTTTTAGAGAGTGTTGTGAGATAGAATTAGGGACTAACATGAGGAATAAATTTGGTAATTAGCGTGGTGAGAAGAGTGATGAGCGGAGTTATCATAGATTTAAAATCATTTAAGAAGGAATTAAAATATAATGAGAGATCTGGAGTATTAGGTTGTGTATTAGATGTTGTGTGATGAGGTCTTGAGTATGAGGTTGACGTGTATTGATGCGGTATGTATTGAGATTGGGTATAATGAGGTACTGAACGGTCAGGGATTATCCTCGTTTGGTTTATTGAGTGCTGAGGAGTTATACTTGTAGTATGAGGAGTAGAGTATTGAGGAGATGTATTTGAAGTTTGAGGATCTGTAATTTGAGGAGTCGCATGATGGTATTGTGATGCATTACATTGTGAGGAGATATATTTGAAGTTTGGTGATTTGTAATTTGAGTTGTATGTTGAGGAGCAATATTGTGAGAGATTGCGTAGTGAGGAGTTACACTCGTCGTTTGAGCAGTTGTGAATTGTGGTGTTGTGTTGTAATATGTAGTTTTAGTACAGGTTTCCTGTGCGTAAGTCATGTTGTGTAGTTTTGGCGAGATAGGGACGGTGTAAGTCGGTCGTGTTCCGCCTCTGGAGGCAGGTGTTCTGTTACCTCTCTACTCGAAGTGGCCTGGCTCCACACATTGAGTCTTCTTTTCTGCAACTCCAGATGCACTACGCATCCCCTATAATTCGCAGAATGATTGCCACTGCACAACGCACAAACAGGTGACTCTTCAAGTGGTTTCTGGCACCTATCACTAAGATGATCTTGACCGCACTTCACACATCGTGGTTTATGATGGCAAAATGTTCTGGTGTGCCCGTATTCTTGGCATCTCATACATTGAACAATATTTCTTCTTTTGTAAGGTTCTTCAATCCTAACTTTTGTATAAGCCAAATTAGTTATATTAAAAACTTCAGCATTGTTTGGAGCTAGCTCTAAGTCAACAAAGAAGAGTGGGAGCGGTTCTTTTGATCTCGGGTGTAACACATTAGAGATGAGACGGATGTTGAATCCTTTTCTTTCAAGGTCATATCTTATCTTTTCGTGTGGTGTTGAATAATGGAGATTTCTAATAACAAACCTATATGATTTGTCTTCTTGAGACTGATAAATGTGAAAGTTGTAATTGTTGGTTTCTAAATATTTAATGCAGATTCTATAGGCTTCACTTGTTTTAATTTTTAATGTAACAATCGATTTGTTAAAAAAACATCCAAAATTATTTTCCCCTAAAAGGCTTACTAAATTTGTGCATAGAGTTTGTTATGCCTTTTATTTTAATTGGAGGTGGTTGATGAATAACTATTGTTTCGTTGGGTTCGTCTTCCATTTCGGTAGAAAGAGGTTCAAACCTATTATTGACCGGAACGTTAGGGATACTATTTATTGCTGTTGGCGTATTTGTTGCATTTGAGCTCTGAACAACATTTTCTGGTACTCCAGTGTTGTGAGCATCATGTTCTAGTATAGATTCAATGATGTGTGTCGTAGAGTTATTATTTTCAATAATTGAATTATTCATTTCAGTATTCGTGGAGTTAGGGAGGTTATGTGAATTAACATATGTTTGCTTTTGGTTAGGATTTTTTGGTGTAGTTTTTATTACAGAATTGTTTGAATTCGCTCTGTTTTTCTCATTTGTACCATCTTTTGATGAAATACTTGAATTGGATCTTACCTTTCTCTTCAGCAGTTTTGACAAAACGGCCTCCTGATCCGACAGTCCACTCGAGCCAGCTAACTGGCGTGCACTCATAAGTAAAGTGTCTGTTTTCACTTTCAAAAACTATACAAACAGATTGTGCCTTTAAAGAGAACACATTTTCACTATAAGACACATAACAAATATTAGAATTCAGTAATTTATAAGAAGAATTTTTTTAGCAACCGCACTGTTCAATCGTAACATCTGTTTTTTTCACTGAATGTAAACTTTAAAAAATATTTTTAAGTTTGTAAAAAGTATTTCAAATCCACCTAATCAAAGCAACGAAATTGTTTTAAAAACTATTTCATTGCACTTGTGTGAAAGAAGAAGTAAAATATAAAATCATTTCATGGATGTATAAAGCATGTGTTTATGAAACTAAATACATTTACTGTAGTTCAGTGATTGTAGATCTGATATTATATTTAAATAATTAGGTAGGTATCAACGTTTATTTCGAAAAATTGTCATGTAACTTTTTAGAAAATTAAATTAGTGATCAATTTGGTTTATTATAAATAATAACTATTTATCATTATTAGAAGTTATTTAAAAATGCTAAATATACTTTTGGAAAATTTGATGATTAAATAAAGGAGAAAAAAAGAAAAATACTTATCCAGGTTGAAAATGAATTTCCAGAAATAATAGTCATAAGATATATGTATAATATACCTTTGGAAAGCAGAGAATAAAAAAACAAAAACAATAAATAATATAGAAAGTTGTGGAAGGTAACGGAGAGTGACGAAAAAATATAAATAATAATTTCTGAAAACTAACAATATTTAACGTAAATCAGGTGTTTTCTAGCAAATTAAATGAAATTTTCTTACTAAATGTAACCTTTTAAAATTTGAATTTTAAAATTAAAGTTTGAAAAAGTATTTAAAACCCACGAATTCAAGGCAATGACATTGTTTAAGATATTATTTCATTGTACTTGTGTGAAAGAAGAAGTGATATATAAAAATATTTCATGGATTCGTTTATAACCTGAAATATATGTACTGTAGTTTAATAACTCTAGATCTGATATTACATTTAAATAATTAGGTATTTATCGTCCTTTATTCCGAAAAATAATTATATAACCTTTTAGAAAATTAAATTAGAGAATAATTCAATAAATTTTTCCTTTGCGATATTCCAACAGAATTCACTTAATCAGTTTGACAACTTTTGACCTGTCTACGATAGACTATGTAAATCTCTTAATTCTATTTTAGCTAACTTTGCAATGGAAAATAACTGTTTAATAACTAATATTATCTATTCCACTATCCATAATCGACGAATTGTACAATCCATAATCAATGATTCATACAACCCATAATGAACCGGTGATATAATAAATAGGACTTTTCTTATTATAATAGTATTTATAATTTGTTGGCTATAATCTTTTAGCTTTAGCTCAATTAAAAATGCAATTCAAAAATTTTATAACAGCCCAACATGGCCAGAAAATAATTTCTATTCATAGTTGAGCTGTAAGTGAAAGTTGTGTGTTGAGCGCACCAGATTTTTTAAATCACAACTAAAGATAATAAGACTTAATAAATCTAATTTATAAATATGTTACATATAAATGCGTCTTCTATTCACAAACTTAACTGTTAATATTAAGTTTATAAGTTGTATTACAATATGTACATATCTTACGTATAAAAGAATAAATCATGAACATGAAATCTGTTACAATATATATATATATATATATATATATATATATATATATATATATATATATATATCTATATATAAGAGAAGTTGGTTAGGATGTTCAGTCATACATGTAACTTAGTAAAAATAAAGATATATATAATTTTCTTTATTTTTACTAAGTTACAGGTATGACTGAACATCCTAACCAACTTCTCTTCAATTATTGATAAAATAATTTCAAAATAAACATAATATCTAGAAATTATGGAAGATAAAACTCTAATTTGAACTTTAAAAATTCATAGTTATTTTGAAGCAGTTAAAAAAAAGTGTCCCAAGGTACAAGTATCTCCCCTACATGATTCCACCAATATACACATACACATATCTAAACATGCTAAGTATATAGTAAGAAAATAAGGATAAAATTTTATTTATTTTATTTTATTTGTATTTGCCTCTACCCTAGAAGGTCATTGGGCAGTGATTCTTAATTTTTATATTCAGTTATAATATTTTGTTTCAATTAAATATTGGAAGAGTATGACATCTTTTTCCCTATCTCCCAAAATATCCATTAATGCCGTGGACAACTTTAATTTTTGTCTTTAAAAATATATAATGTAAATTGAACAAAAAATATGCTAATATTTGAAATAAAGAGTTATAAGCAATGTCTTTTTTTTTATAAACAATTATAAAAAAATATATCTTCTGTATAATAGTATTACATCTTCTGAAAGAAAAAAAACAATGTTTATTAATAAGCAATTTTTCCTGTATGATGTGTCATAATATGTGTTTTTAAATCATCTGCTTACAACTGCTTTATAGCTACAATGAGGACATTAATGATTTTTCTCGCCTGTATGATGAATAATAATATATCTTTAAATTACAACCTTGTACTGTTCTTAGTCACAATTAGGACAGTGATAAGGCTTCTCGTCTGTATGATGTACCATGATATGTTTTTATAAATTAATTTATTGCACTGCTTATAGTTATATTAAGGACATTAATGAGGTTTCTTGCCTGTATGATGTATCATACTATGTCTTTTTAAATGACTTGCATATACTGCCTTATAGTCTCATTGAGAGCATTGATGAGGCTTCTCACCAGTGTGATAAACCATAATATGTGTTTTAAAACTAATAGTGTGTACTGTTTTATAGTCACAATGAGGACATTAATGATTTTTCTCGCCTGTATGATGAATAATAATATATCTTTAAATTACAACCTTGTACTGTTCTTAGTCACAATTAGGACAGTGATAAAGCTTCTCGTCTGTATGATGTACCATGATATGTTTTTATAAATTAATTTATTGCACTGCTTATAGTTATCTTAAGGACATTAATGAGGTTTCTTGCCTGTATGATGTATCATACTATGTCTTTTTAAATGACTTGCATATACTGCCTTATAGTCACATTGAGAGCATTGATGAGGCTTCTCACCAGTGTGATAAACCATAATATGTGTTTTAAAACTAATAGTGTGTACTGTTTTATAGTCACAATGAGGACATTGAAGAGGCTTCTCACCAGTATGATGCACCATAATATGTCTTTTTATATGACCTATTTGTATTGCTTTATAGTCACAATGAGGACATTGGTGAGGTTTCTCACCTGTATGATGGGCCATAATATGATTTTTTAAATTAGTTGCTTCTATTACTTTATAATCACAATGAGGACATTGATGAGGCTTCTCACCTGTATGATGAGCCATATGCCTTTTTAAATGATGTCTTCGTACTGTTTTATAGTGACAATGCGGACATTGATGAGACTTCTCCCCTGTATGATGGGCCATAATATGTGTTTTTAAACTACCTGCTTCTACTGCTTTATAGTCACAATGAGGACATTGATGAGGCTTCTCGCCAGTATGATGAGCCATAATATGTGTTTTTAAATCACCTGCTTGTATTGCTTTATAGTCACAATGAGGACATTGGTGAGGTTTCTCACCTGTATGATGGGCCATAATATGATTTTTTAAAGTAGTTGCTTCTATTACTTTATAATCACAATGAGGACATTGATGAGGCTTCTCACCTGTATGATGAGCCATTATGCCTTTTTCAATGATGTCTTCGTACTGATTTATAGTCACAATGAGGACATTGATGAGGCTTCTCACCTGTATGATGGGCCATTATATGTGTTTTTCATACTTCCAGATTCTACTGATTTATAGTCACAATGAGGACATTGATGAGGCTTCTCGCCTGTATGATGAGCCATTATATGTTTTTTCATATTCCAGATTGTACTGATTTATAGTCACAATGAGGACATTGATGAGGCTTCTCACCTGTATGAGGGCCATTATATGTTTTTTCATATTCATTACTTACTGATTTATAGTCACAATGAGGACATTGATGAGGCTTCTCACCTGTATGATGGCCATTATATGTTTTTTCATATTTTCATGACTGTACTGATTTATAGTCACAATGAGGACATTGATGAGGCTTCTCACCTGTATGATGAGCCATTATATGTGTTTTTCAATTGTACTGATTTATAGTCACAGTGAGGACATTGATGAGGCTTCTCACCTGTATGACGAGCCATAATATGTGTTTTTCAATGACTGCAGGTTGTACTGATTTATAGTCACAATGAGGACATTGATGAGGCTTCTCACCTGTATGACGGGCCATTATATGTGTTTTAAATCACCTGATTGTACTGATTTATAGTCACAATGAGGACATTGATGAGGCTTCTCACCTGTATGACGGCCATTATATGGTTTTTCATAGTTCCAGAATTTACTGATTTATAGTCACAATGAGGACATTGATGAGGCTTCTCACCTGTATGACGGCCATTATATGTTTTTCATATTTTCAGAATTACTGATTTATAGTCACAATGAGGACATTGATGAGGCTTCTCACCTGTATGACGGGCCATTATATGTTTTTCATATGTCCAGAATTCACTGATTTATAGTCACAATGAGGACATTGATGAGGCTTCTCACCTGTATGATGGCCATTATATGTTTTTTCAAATTCATAGATTGTACTGATTTATAGTCACAATGAGGACATTGATGAGGCTTCTCACCTGTATGATGAGCCATTATATGTGTTTTTCATATTCAGATTGTACTGATTTATAGTCACAATGAGGACATTGATGAGGTTTCTCACCTGTATGATGAGCCATAATATGTTTTTTAACCTAGTTATTTCTATTACTTTATAATCACAATGAGGACATTGATGAGGCTTCTCACCTGTATGACGAGCCATAATATGCCTTTTTAAATTATATTTTCGTACTGCTTTATAGTCACAATGAGGACATTGATGAGGCTTCTCGCCTGTATGGTGAAGCATTATATGT